AAAAAAAAAAAAAAAAAAAACAAACCTTGCGCGATAGCGACTGCAAACAAAATGGCACGGGCTGAATCAAATCTGAAAATAATAATACTAATAAAATTTTATCCAAAGAAAAAGAAATCTTGCCATACCAGAGATACAAGGTCCCCCTTCCAAACAAGAACTGGAAGGAATCATTGAATATGCTCTTCAAAGATCGGTAGAAAAGCAATTTTTATTATTTCACTGAAACTGTCAACAGTTTGTTAGTATCGCAGAATAGGCGCTTCTACAGTTATCCAAAACGCTACTGTTTGCGGATTCATTCGTATGTAGTGTAAAAGTATCAGGCTAGCAAACTAAAAAATTTCTTCTACAAATTCAGCAAGTCTCATCAAAATGCAGAAAGATCCAAAGAGTTCAAAACTTAAACGTCTTTCATAATACAATCATTTTTCTGCTTTCCCATCCCCTCACTTGAAACTTAGTTTGAAAATTTTTGGTCGTACGTGAGAAGGGAAACGTAAGAAGGGAACATTCACCCAAAGTTTCAACTTTCTGGCTTTTCTCATTCCCGAGTTATGAATTTTTCTGTCACAATTTTCACGTGCCCGTCTGCCCGGGCAGTCCTGGGCAGCTGAATTTGAAATTTTTCTGTCATACATGGGTAGGGAACATTACCCTAAAGTTTCAGCTTTCTAGCTTTTCTCGTTCCCGAGTTAGCAATTTTCCCGCCAAAACTTTTACGTTATCGCACGCTGGTCCAGACGTGCGTGAGGGTTGATACCACTGTACTGGGGTGGCACTTGGCTGGGGAACACACTGGCAAAATTTCAGCTTCGAAGCTTGCGTAGTTGGAGAGTTCGAATACCCGGACAGATAAACATACACACACTGACAAGGTCGTTGCAAATGCATTTTTGCTGCCCGTTGCAGCGAAAACGCATAATCGAACAGGATGGTAACAAAAAACTGTGAAGGATACGAGGGAAAGGATGTGACAAAGATGTCACAGAAAACCTTGAAAGACGCACGTCACGCTGCGCCGATCTTCTAATGATGCTGCAGGAGTAGCAAACTTTGGCAAAAGTCAAAAAGCATACAAAGAGAAATCAACAAACCAATCGATCGTGCATC